CCATGACCAACCGCTTTCAACAGAGGAACATGCTCAATACAGACGAGCAGTCGGGAAACTCCAATGGATGACATAACATCAGCTATGCAACTAAAGAAGTAGCAAGAGCATTGCAGCAGCCAACAGCAGCCGATCAACAAAAGCTGAAGCACCTTCTCAGGTACATCGAAGGAGCAAAGCACTACAAGCAGATCATTCGACCAACAGTGAAGCTTCTAGCAAAAGGATGTCCAACAACAAGGAAATCCACAACAGGATTTCTCATCGCACTACTTGGAACAACAATGAACCATGGAAGCAGAACACAGGCAACAACTGTACTCTCTAGCCTCTGCACTAGGGCTGAGCTATATGCCATGAACACTGGGGCAACAGAAGCACTTCACATTAGAAGCCTCCCGATGGAACTTCTCAACTTCTCAACATCAACAAGATCAACATCAAGATCTACACAGACTCATCAAGTGGCAAGAGCATGGCCACAAGCATTGGATCCGCAGGGAAGGCAAAACACATCGAACTCAAACACCTCTTCATTCAACAATTGATTTCACACGACTACGTGAGACTAATCAAAGTTCACACAAACGACAACCCAGCAGACATATTGACCAAGTATGTCTCAACAGAGACTCTGCAACAACACCTTCAACAAGCTGGACTTGGCATCCAGCAACTCAACCTTCACTGAAGCATAGGTTTCACACACTTAAGCCATGGGATCAAAAATAGTTGATCCAGGCCCTCGCTGCAACTACATCATGGAGTATGTCAACATCATATCCCAAACAGTATTTCAACAAGATTCTCGACATGTACTACCACACGTACTACTTCAACGTGAATGTGCACTACATGGTGGAGTATACGTACACGTCCCACACAACATGTCTGTGATACACAACATGTCTTTTTTTGCTGAGCTCGGAACTCATCAGTTTGAAGAATTCAACAGTTCGATTTGTGCAATCTTTGAGAGTCAACATTTTGTTGACAACATCGCCGTGAACAAGGGTCCAACGAGCCCACGCTGCTCAACATTGATGCCCAGCTTCGACAAGATGATTTTGTCGAAGAGCCCAACAGGAGCTGTCACAACAGCCTTCTATCACGCGACAGACAGACACGTTGTGACTGCCAACAAGGAGCAGTACGTTTTGACCTCAGTTACGGCCAGCAAGGACCAACAATTCGTTCGGCTTGGCAACAAGACCATGAATCTGCTCAACAGGGCCTACACCATGCCTCAACTCCAAGTGGAATGTGGATCAACAGTGAAATTCACAACAGATGAAATTTCCTCGACGGAACATTGGACACTGATGTCCAACAACGACCAGGCAGTCATGGCAAAGGTCGCCACAACTTTGTCATGGTCCAACATTGATGCCCAGCTTCGACAAGATGATTTTGTCGAAGAGCCCAACAGGAGCTGTCACAACAGCCTTCTATCACGCGACAGACAGACACGTTGTGACTGCCAACAAGGAGCAGTACGTTTTGACCTCAGTTACGGTCAGCAAGGACCAACACTTCGTTCGGCTTGGCAACAAGACCATGAATCTGCTCAACAGGGCCTACACCATGCCTCAACTCCAAGTGGAATGTGGATCAACAGTGAAATTCACAACAGATGAAATTTCCTCGACGGAACATTGGACACTGATGTCCAACAACGACCAGGCAGTCATGGCAAAGGTCGCCACAACTTTGTCATGGTCCAACAGGTCTCTTTGGGCCTACAACTATGTTTTCCCAACAGCCGTTGTCACCAACAACGACAGCGGTCATTGGCGAGCCCTACTACAAGCAATCCACTATGCTGGGGCAACATGCCTCAACAGGCTTCCTCAACAGGAATTCCAACGACTATGGGACTTGGGCACTGACAACCTGCACTTCATGAGATGCAACAGCTGAAGTTGGGAGGCACAAAGAGAACAGAAAGGCTTCGAGGAAACAACATGATCTGTGAGTGAGTCAACAACACTTTCAGCTGGGAGACCTACATGGAGGCTGCACAACAGGCCAGCTGAAGACGACAACATGGAAGATAATGAGGTTGAACAACAGGAAGGTTGATCATCTTCCAACAAGAGGGTGATCAAACAACATCCTGATGCCTTTTAGGCATCAAACCAACAAAGCAGAATAGTGATGCATGGACTTGCACTACCACAGCAAGTGAGAGGGAAATCAACAGACGGCTCAGACAAATAAGAAAAACTGCGATCAACATTTGATCAACAGACATTCTTTCTGTCAACATCAACATATCCGATAATACTGGTGTAGTTCAGCATGTGAATAGTGGTGAAATGGTGTGCGACGATGTGCAACACCAATTCAAGAGGATGTGTTAAATACCAACCATGCCTTTCCAACATGTCTATTGGTTCAACATCTCGGCCCAACATAAGGCCTTGAGTCAGCCCGGTAGCCAACTGTTAACACAACAGTTTGGCAATACAACAATACAGCGTGTGCAACAAAGGTTTGCTGCAACAGTGCGCAGCGTCAGCTGTACAACAGACAGGTTCAGCAGCTACCTGTAATTTTACATGTAAGCCTGTCTGTTGTATGTCTGTCTGTCTGTATGTATGTATGTCTGTCTATCTGTATGTATGTCTGTCTGTATGTATGTATGTCTGTCTGTATGTGTGCCTGTCTGTATGTATGTATGTATGTATGTCTGTCTGTCTATGTGTATGTCTGCGTGTATGTATGCCTGTTTGTCTGTACGTATGTCTGTGTGTATGTATGTATGTCTGTATGTGTGTATGTCTGCCTGTATGTATGTCTGTCTGAATATGTATGTCTGTCTGTATGTATGTCTGTTTGTATGTATGAATGTCTCTATGTATATCTGTCTTTCTGTATGTCCGTCTGTCTGTATGTATGTCTATCTGTATGTATGTCTGATTGTCTGTATGTATATGTGTGTGGATGTCTGTCTGTTTGTATGTATCTATATCTGTATGTATGTCTGTGTGAAAGTATGTCTGTCTGTCTGTATGTCTGTATGTATGTATATCTCTGTTTGTATGTATGTATGTATGTATGTATGTCGGTCTGTATGTATGTCTAACTGTATGTATGTCTAACTGTATGTATGTATATATGTCTGGCTGTATGTATGTCTGTCTGTCTGATGTATATGTATATGTATGTATGTCGTCTGTATGTATGTATGTCTGTCTATGTGTATGTCTGCGTGTATGTATGTCTGTCTGTATGTATGTATGTCTGTCTGTATGTCTGTCTGTCTGTATGTATGTATGTCCGTCTGTATGTCTGTCCGTCTGTAGGTATGTCTGTATGTATGTCTGTCTGTATGTATGTTTGTCTGTATGTATGTCTGTCTGTCTGTATGTATGTATGTATGTAGTATGTCTGTATGTATGTATGTCTGTCTGAATATGTATGTCTGTCTGTATGTATGTCTGTTTGTATGTACGTATGTAATTACGTATGTACGTATGTACGTGTCTCTATGTCTGTATGTACTGTAATATGTATGTCTGTCTGTATGTCTGTATGTCTGAATCTCTGTATGTCTGTATGTCTGTATGTCTGTCTGTCTGCATGTATGTATGTATGTACGCATAAAGTAAGTATGTACGTACGTACGTACGTACGTACGTATGTATGTATCTATGTATCTATGTATCTATGTATCTATGTATCTATGTACGTACGTACGGACGGACGGACGGACGGACGGATGTATGTATGTATGTATGAAATATGTATAAAGTATGTATAAAGTATGTATAAAGTATGTACAAAGTATGTACAAAGTATGTATAAAGTATGTATAAAGTATGTATAAAGTATGTATAAAGTATGTATAAAGTACGTATAAAGTACGTATAAAGTCCGTAAAAAGTACGTATAAAGTATGTATAAAGTATGTATAAAGTATGTATAAAGTACGTATACAGTATGTATAAAATATGTATAAAGTATGTATAAAGTATGTATAAAGTATGTATAATGTATGTATAAAGTATGTATAATGTATGTATAATGTATGTGTAATGTATGTATAATGTATATCTAAAGTATTTTTTAAGTATGTATAAAGTATGTCTAAAGTATGTCCAAAGTATGTGTAAAGTATGTATAAAGTATGTATAAAGTATGTATAAAGTATGTATAAAGTATATCTAAAGTATTTATTAAGTATGTATAAAGTATATCTAAAGTATTTATTAAGTATGTATAAAGTATGTATAAAGTATGTCCAAAGTATGTGTAAAGTATGTATAAAGTATGTATAAAGTATGTATAAAGTATGTATAAAGTATGTATAAAGTATATCTAAAGTATTAATTAAGTATGTATAAAGTATATCTAAAGTATTTATTAAGGATGTATAAAGTATGAATAATGTATGTATAATGTATGTGTAATGTATGTATAATGTATGTGTAATGTATGTATAATGTATATCTAAAGTATTTATTAAGTATGTATAAAGTATGTCTAAAGTATGTCCAAAGTATGTGTAAAGTATGTATAAAGTATGTATAAAGTGTGTATAAAGTATGTATAAAGTGTGTAATTATAAAGTATGTATAAAGTATGTATAAAGTATGTGTAAAGTATGTATAAAGTATGTGTAATGTATGTATAATGTATGTGTAATGTATGTATAATGTAGATGATAATATATATATATATACTGGTCTCAAACTTGATGCAAATAAAAAGGCCGAACAATACTCCAAAGGAATGATTTGGGACGTGACTGTGGGTTTGCGGGACAGGTGAAGATCCACATGTCGTCCACTTTACTCAGTGTAGTTTGGGTTGGAAATCAAAAAGACTGACCGATTTCAAGCATGCGTGCACCTGTCAAATTGCATCAAAATGCCAACTCAATCCAAATCTTGAAGCTGGGTGACATGGCAATTGTCAGGTTGCAAATCTGGAACCATCTGGAATCTCCTTGATTTAGTTGAGCCATCCGTCAGCCCTTTCCTTTCTGTGGAGTCCTGAAGGGGCTCCGGCTCAGGGGATTCGCGACGGAAAAAGAGCCCCACCGTCACATGCATTGCCTGGCTCTGCAAAAATGCGTTTGCAAGATGATTCTCAGGCGGTCCTGTTGCCTTCTTATGGGTACAGTATGTATTCAGGTCTTCAAGACACTCTTGGGAGTTTGGCACACCCAAAAGCTGAGTTGGTCTGATGCGTTTTACCAGAATAATCCGAGATCTAAAAGAGTAGTTGCAGCTCTGGTCATTCATCATTAGTTAGTTGTGGAGACGGAGTACTTGTGGCCTTGCAATCAGGAGCTGCTTACATCTGGCTATGGGTGATGTGACAATTTCGGTTCTAGCCCTTTCTTGCTCATGACCTGAGATAATCGCAGTCTAGAAGCCTTGAACCAGCACTGATTGCTGAACTGGTCAGCCAAGTGTGGTGAATCTGCCCAAGTTTCATGGTGAATCAGCCAAGTTGCATAGTGAAAGAAAAACTGCTTGAGTGCCAAGCTCCTCATTGCCGTGGCAATCCCCAAGCCCCTCCCAAAAGGTGACCCCCAAGAACGGTAGGGCTTAAGGTAGGGCTTAAGGGCTGCCCAACTGCACCACCAACTGCAGCCAGGAGACGGAAGTCCACCAATATCAACCAAAATCGTGTCAACCAGGATATAACTATTGGAAGCAAGTAGGTCCTCAGTGTCAACTCAATTGATTTCAGGCAAAAAATATGGGCCAAAATCCTGGCAATTCTTGCTTCACCACCCAGGTGGAGGTCGTGAACCTCTAAATAACTTCAAAGTTTTGGCCAGCGGGAGTCAACAACCTTCTGGACAATAGTTATCGCGGAACATGGCTTGGAGTCAAAGAACAATACGTCTATTGTCTATCTACACACACATACATACATTACATTACATTATTTTACTTAAAAATTTTACATTTACATCACATTACAATTTCATAAATACAAACATTACATACACTACATACAAATACATTACATGACATGACATACAATACATACAATACATACAACAACACATACAATGCATATACAAGACATCCAAGACATCCAAGACATGCAGTACATGGAATACATGGAATACATACAATACATGCAATAAATACAATACATACAATACACACAAGACATGCGATACATACAATACATACAATACAAACAATACATACAATACATACAATACATACAATACATACAATACATACAATACATACAATACATAGAATACATACAATGCATACAATACATATAATACCACGAGCACGCCTAACCCTTATATCAAGTTCCTTTTCAAACCCTTACACTACCAATTCCTTACCATTACCACCATACTTCTCTAACCCTGTGGGAAATGTTAACCTTTCAAACATATATCTTTAACTTTTTCAGCAGAAACGATACTAACCCTCGCATAGCCCACTTTTTAACACTCGCTTGTAAGGGTTAAAAGCGGGTCTCATAACCTAACATAACATAATCTAACCATACATACATACATTACATTTCATTACATTACATTACAATACAATGCATTACATTGCATTGCATTGCATTACATTACATTACATACATACATACATACATAGATTACATACATTACATACATTACATACATTACAGACAGACAGCCAGACAGCCAGACATACAGAGATACAGACATACAGACATACAAACATACAGGCATACAGGCATACAGTACATACATCATGTAGATTTATTATATATATATGTATGTATGTAGCTATGCTATCTGCCATAATTATTTGCCTTTCTTTACCCATCTAGTGTACGTCTGGGCGCTGCTCGGCAAGCGACCCTGTTGCCAGCACCAAATGGGAGATAGGACTTGGATGGTTGCAGTAATTCCATGTAACTCCAACAAAGTGACCCAACGCCGCAGATTTATCAGATTTATGGCTGCAGCCAGGGATCTTTCAGCGGCTTTTCAAAGATCTTTTCGCAGGACCAGGACCAAGACCTTTCTCCATGGAAAGCGACCCTTTACTCGGCAACCCAATGGGACCACTTCGCACCCGGGGCCTATTTTTCCCATGGGACTATGGGACTGCCATGCCAAACACACCCTGCCAAGCCCATCCTTTCGCACACCTGAAAGGATGTGTCCAGCGCGTCAGAAATCGGCATTTTGACCGCGTCACCTCCAAATAGATCACATCAATGTCATGGTCCTGGATCCGTGGCCATGTGGCCATGTGGCCATGGCCATGACGACCTTGGGGAACATGGAAGCCATATAGATATGAGTCAAAACCTTTTGTCCAAATATCTTGCTGATGAACATCCATTTACCCATCTATATTGGGTTCGTTAGGGTACCAGGGTTTTGACACATACCCATCATATGAAGCCGTGTCATTTGTGAATCCAACAGCCAGGGACCCTTTTTTCCCAACAGCCACGCCTGAAAGTTAAACTTGGAAAGGATATCCATAGCATCCCAACTGCAATCTAAAGCCAAGAAATGCAATTTCGGCATTTCAGCCTGCCAGAGCAATGCCAGCAATGCAATTCCCCTCTGGCAATTTAACAGCTTGCTCTGGAAAATCACCATTTGTTTGACCGTTTGAATGGATATATCATCAGTAATTAAACAAGGATTTTCCATAGCTATGCTACACCACCAGAGGGTAGATACTGTATTGTTCAACAGAAACTGAAGCATACGACACAGTGGCGCCTGTTGCAGAATATCCTTCAGCTGTCGACATCTCAAGGGTGTTCGTCGCACTTCCCGAGTGAAGTCCATCAACCTGCAAATCAGAAGAAATGCGAAGATCTGGTGAGGAAACTTAAGGCAGAACATGCAGGAATATGGGTATGGGTCAATACCTATTAATACCAGTTTTAGTGGGATGAACATCCATTTACCAGCTATTTTGGGGTTCACTAGGTACCAGGGTTTTGACCCATCCCCATATCACGAATTGCAAACCCAAGATGAGCAGTGTTCATCAAACCCTGTTTCATTCCATTGTATACTGGTTGATTAAGAACAGGATTCACAGTTCATTCATGGTTTGTTAATCTAACACCCAATGTATAAAGTGCGTAACCCCTAACTCATCATCAATCAACCATCATTTCTCCATAATATCCCCATAATGACGCTTAAAAAAAAACTATGAGTGATCCCATTCCCCTCATATCAAACACCCTCATTCTATGATCCCAAATATGTGATTTCATCCCCTACATCCAGCATGTTTTCTGGGTGGTGTGTCTTAATCAAGGGGGAATCGGGTTATATCAACAACGTGAAATCATGTTAAATCCCCATTTTCAACAACTCATCAACCAGGGATCAAGGCTCAACCGGCGCAGCTGGTTGAGCAAATCACAACTAGCGAAGCAGGTGACCTCACGAACTCTTTCTCGAGAGAATCCTCAAAGGCTGCAACACCTGGCGATCCACGGGCTGAAGCGAGACCGATGCTTCTGGGGGAACCCAAGAAAGATTTGTCCAAATCACCAGGGATAAAAGGCATGATTTCAAAATTGCTGGAATCATTTCATTCACCTTGACTTTGAAGATTTGGACCGAAAAAATGCTGGGTTATGGTGGTTGAGCCTCTAAATGAGCTTAGTATGGCTTAGTTATGTTGAAATGTTCTCAACGTCAGGTATGGTATAAGAATTTCCATGGGAAATTCGTAGAATCGCGAAACCATCAGAGGGCCCATTGGAACAAAAAAGGCGAGCGTCTGAACAAAGCCAATTGGTGCCCAAGACATCCCCAAAAACCTGTGGGATATCCGCAAAAACAAATCACATCAAATCACATCATTCACATCATTCACATCCAAATAGCGTACATGTCGTTACATGTCCAGTACATTGTTTGCTCATCCCCTTAGAAAAGTATTCCGTCCCATCGGCCAAAGCGGCCGCCTGGCAAATTGGATTTGCCATCAAATGCCTCCAGCCAGGTACGCTTCGCACCGGCCTTGCGATGAAACAATATGTTCAACCGAGGAAAGAACACACTACAATAGATTTGGTAAATTTCTTGGAATTTGTTTTGGAAGGTCAAACTATTAGAACAGTTGATAAAAATTCAGCACATTCAATCATTCAATATCAGACCAGTTATTGGAGAACCTACTGGAGAATCTACTGCTCTTATGTAGCTTCCCTAACTGAGGGTTTCCTTCGTAGTTGATGGCGATAAAAACAGGCCCACTGATATGTACATAAGTATATCTTCATATATCTTATGTATTCCTTTACCTGTTTATTTGTTCATTCATGTATTGTACTACATACACACTATGTATATATATATACACATATGTTAAATGTATGTTACAATATATTATATATATTGCATGTATGTATATATAGATACGCTACATATGTATGTATTACCTGTATATAGTACATTGGTAAATGTGTATATTATATATATACACGTATATGTAATATTCAATACAATTTGCCGGTTTGCCGGCGTGTTTTGTTGTTCTTGCCACAAACCTTGACATATCTTTAGCTTGAGCTCTAGATTGCTACATGTATCTGCACACTTTTCTTTTCGTTTGGGTACAGCCTTTCGGTTGAGGCTTGGTACACCTTCGATTGAGTCCTAGTTTTACAGCATCTCCTGGCTTTGGTTGTATAATCTTAATTTTTTATTCTGTTTCTTCTATAAATAGTTCCCTGGTTTTAATTTGTTCTGGTCTGAGATGGAGTTCTAGTTCCAGCTACAGCTATATTTTGCTCTTGTTCTAGTTTGGATTCGACTTCTAGTCCTAGCTATCAATACCTTGATCTTATTCAAGCTTTAGCTACAGCAATGGTTTGAGTTTGTTCTAACTTTAGGTTGACATCTATGCTATAGCTTTAGGTTGAGATCTACTTGTACCTGTAGGTTTCTCTTCGACTGATTTTTTGTTCGGCTGCCCCGCCCCCCCAACACAGTTACTATAGTATAGTCTAGTCCCGTTTGCTCTTGTGTAGTCTATCAAGCAAACTCGCAGTGATCGTCTTTACATCGTCATCTAGGTGGTCTCAACCATCATCCTCCTCATCAGCATCTTCTCCTATTCCCTTCCTTCATCCTTCATCATCCCATCTGCGTCTTCTCCGTCGTTGTTCCAGCTCGCCGGGTGCAGCACTTTTTTGTCCACGATTTCTCCGCATTTTACAGCCCGTTCCAAGCAGCCGTAGGTGCTAAAATGCAGCTTTTGCGCCCAGCCATGCCTCCAAGGCATCTATCAACTTGGATCCTTTCTGTTCAATCTCCAAGGTCTTGCACAAACAAGTTTCCACACAAACCAGTTTTTACAGCAACCAGTTTCTAGACAAACACTCTTCTTTTTACACTAAGCAATTTTTGCAGAAACCACCTTTTACACAAACCACCTTTTAGACAAACACGCTTTTACACAAACCACCTTTTATTTCACCAAACGGTTTTTACAAACCAGTTTTTACGAACCAGTTTTTTAACAAATAAGTTTTTTCACAGACCAGTTTGTACAGAAACCAACTTTTGGATAAATTTACTACCTTTTGCACCCACCAGCTTTCACAGCCCAGTTTTTACACAAACCACTTTTACACAAACCAACCTTTTACACAACCCCTGCTTTGGTCGTGGAAGCCAGATGATGTAATACATGTTGCACGAATTATAATATAATATAATATTATATTATATTATATTATATTATAATATATATATATACATATAAATAATATTACAGTATTGCGCAAATACATTACATTCATGTGTATATGTATATATTTATATATACATACAGTACATATTACGCAAATGATATTTTTGTTTATACATATAATATACTACATATATTATGAAAAAAACTATATTAAATAATAATAAATAATACACATATCATATATATATATATGAAGTTAAAACATGGACAGTATCTATTAGAGTATTTTTCATATTGGACATGTATCAATTTTTCACTGATTTACTGCTTCATTGGCTGATCTGTTTCACGCTGTACATTCAGTGATCCACTGGTTACTGGTTCACTGCTTCATTGACTCATCGGCTCACTAAATTCATTAATGCATTGATTCACTGAATCATTGTTCCACTGAATCATCGATTCACTGCTTATTGATTCACTGAATTTTTGATTCATTGGTTCATTGAATCATTGATTCACTCATCGATTCACTGGTTCACTGGTTGGCTGATTCATTGAGTCACTGCTTCGCTGCCTCATTGATTCATGAATTCATTGATCCATTGGTTCATTGGTTCATTCATTCAGTTGTGCACGGATTCTTTCATGTCATGTCATTGGCACCTCACAGCTTCAACCGCTCACGGCTTCTGCATCTCAAAAATATTCCTCTAGGCCATTGATTTCCTATAGCCATTTCCCATGTTTGAAACTTCCACCCTGGCGCGGGCCGGGCACTATCTGGTATATATAGTTATATAGGTATACGGTGTGCACATAATTAGATACCTTAAAAAAATGAATACAATAGATATTCGCGGCATTGCATGCCCTTGCTCCCCACCATTCCCCACCTGACCACAGATGGCAGTTTGCATCACCAGAGATCCATTCCTATCTCCCAACAAAGGAGGCTGGATCTCTGAGGGTTCGATCAAGATGCCTCGCCAGCCCAGTTCCTCGAGGCTTTTAAAAAACAAGCGCGATCGTCATGGGGCCCATCCATCTGGTTTCACATGGAAAAATTGTGATATAACGAATGAAAAAATGTGGTAAAATCTGCCATATGAATATTGATTGAATATTGATTCAAGGATACACTGGTTGGCTTTGAACCTGGGACAGACAAATAAACAGAACAGCGTCGACCAAACAGGGGTCTGGTATGGTCTGGTATGGTCTGGTATGGTCTGGTTGATTAGCATTGATTAGATGATGTGGAATGATCAAACCAGTTTGATAAATCCAGTCCTTCTCAAAGAAGAAGCTCAACGAGTTGTTTCTCCCATCCAGAGCTCTGGATTCCAGGAAGGATCCGTTCCGATTCAAGTCGCCAAACATGGACAGCATCTTCAGGTCCTCAACGAATCGCTCTTGAGGCTTTGAGGTTGACGGATTTGGAGATAGAAGTGGCTGGTAAATGGTTGATACTCCAAGGATATCCAAGTATGGTGAACTGAATAAGTACAAAACGGAGTCAGAGAGCCTCCAACCAGTCCAAACACCAGCACCAGGCGACAAGGACTGTACCGAACGGTTTTTGGTCCTTCTCTCGCCGTTGAAAGTGAGGATGTCTGTAGATATTGGCCGGCCTACGGCGCACCAGCTACCCCAAAATTCCGATGGACCCAAATCCAAAATCATCACTTGTAAGGGACCCACCACATTTGGACAAGTTCATATTTAATTATAAAGCATCCAGGTTTCGGGGCCAACAGTCTTAAAACTAAGGCGCTCCGGAATTGTTTTGGGAATATTATTTTTTCAGATGATATAGGATTTCTTTGGACTCCAGTTCTGTTCATTGTCCATGCTATCTCCAGCCATTTGGAACCGGAAGCCGCCATCTCAACGGTATTTGCAACATTTTTGAATTTGCACCTCTCATTTTCCATGGTATGTGCGGCATTTTGATGCTCAAACTGTTCATGTAACATGGTAGTTTGAAACTCGGGTTCATGTTTGGTTTTAGGGTTGGTTTAGGTTTTGGGGAATTGGTTTTAGGTGCTTTGAAGAGTTTGTTTAAAAGTTTTAGAGTTGGTGCGTTTCTTTCAGAAATGTTTGAAATGACTCATGTTCTACATTATTCAATACATAAATCATAAGGGTATGGGTCAATACCTATTAATACCAGTTTTAGTGGGATGAACATCCATTTACCAGCTGTTTTGATGTTCACCAGGGGTACAAGGGTTTTGACCCATCCCCAAATCATAAAACTTACCAAAAAGCGCACTCCCACAAAGACCCGGACTCTTCTTTTTCAAAGCGAACAGGACCTGTATGGATCAGCCCAACCTGCTTGTTCTCAAAAGTGCAGCGAAGATTCAATCAGCAAAAAAAAGGGATGAATGAAATTTAATAGAAATGTACATTTAATATATGCAAATATATGATTGTACTTGGCGTTGTCTCTTTGGAGGAGAGGGTCTACCCGCGGTGACTTTCTAACTCTGTCTGGGCTGCGCTCGAAAGATCACTGTACGGTACAATGATGTACAATGTAGTATTATTAAACTAGGAAGGAATTCAACCCCCAGGGTCACCATGAAGATCAGAGACTTCAGCTGAAGTTTGGCAATTATAAAGCTCCGAGGAGAGGTCGGTACAGGGAGGGGAAATAAAAGAAGAACGGCGGAAAGCCTCGGAGGGAGTTCATTCGGACCAACGGGGTCGGGGGCGGCCTATCCGGAAAGTGGAGTCAGAACGGAATGAGTCGATAGGCGTGAAAGGGCTGGCAACAGCAATGATATTCAAGAGAATCTTGGTGGCGCAATAAGTGACCAAGGAGCTGTAAACGTCTAGTAGATGCAAGTTGAGAGGGTGTGAAAATATGACGGCCATGGGAATTGGCAAGCTGTTGAAGCTGAGAATTGGAACATGGCTCAAATCTTCTTTGAAGGACGCGATGATAAAAAGAAGGTTTAACGCCTAAAATTGTGTGAAGAACCCGAAAGTGCAAGGCGTCAAGGCGGGCAAATTCGGCTGGAGTGGGAACAATTGGAACAATACTTTTGATAGAGAAAAAAAGATAGGTTGAACGGCAGATTGATAAAGAAGGAGGCGAAAAGTGGGATTAATACAATGGGTTCGAAAAAAGGAGGGCAAGGAGTTTGGATGCAGCAGTGGCTTTGGGCAGTCTTGCTTTGACATGGTCAGCAAAGCAATGGAAGGAATTGATCTCGGAATGCAACAAAATGAGACGATTCTACAAAAAATGCACACTATGGTTCACAAGGTAAATAACTAACTTGAGCAACCAATTCAGCACATGTTTGTGGAGAGTCCGGGAGCCATACCTGAAGGGTGTTCCAATCACACGGCAATGAAATGTTTCTGTAGGGAACAGAAAAAAATCCAACAGGGGAAGTCCCATTCCGTCTTGACCTTGAGATCCTCATAACTATCCCTGTCATGCCAGTACGGGCGAGACCTCAAGAACTGATAAACTGTTTTACAGAAAGATTCCGTTACACATGTCACTCGAAGCACCGTCTTCTCATCAGAGTACTAATATATACTATTATATACTAATATGCTGTGTGATGGACTGAATGACACACAAAAGATCAAGCAGAGAACCGGAATGCAATTAACATTAGATAAATATGTTCATCAAAGATGCTTTCTAGTGACTTGCTCAAAACACCGTAAAAGTGAGGCCTCTATAACGTCCCTTTCTGTTGGCTTAAGATCTAGTTAAGTTTGGTTTAGGGTGTGTTTAGGGTTGGTTTAAGGTTTGTTTGAGGTTGGTTTCCGGTTTTAGGTTGATTTACAGTAAGATCTATTTAGGGTTGGTTTAAGAGTACGGCTGGTTTTAGGGTTCATTTAGGCTTGGTTTAAGATCTACTTAGGGTTGATATGGGTTGATTTAGTGCTTATTTAGGCTTGGCTTAGGATCTATTTAGGCTTGGTTTACAATCCATTGAAGGTTGGTTTAGACATTATTTAGGGTTGGTTCAAGGATTATTTGGGGTTGGTTTAGGGTTTTTTAAGCGTGGTTTAGGGCTTATTTAGGGTTAGTTGCGGTAGGGATTATTTGGGATTAGTTTCAGCTTTTAGGGTATGTTTAGGGCTCACTTCGAGTTGCTTTCGTTTTTGGGGGGCTGGTTTAGGGTTGATTTAGGGCTGGTTTGGGGTCCATTTATATGATAATTCTTAGGGTTTGTTTATGGGCAGCGAAAAGCAGAAAAGGAGCGAAAATCGGAGAAGCAGAGAATCAAAGAAGCAGAAAAGCAGGGAAAAGCAGAGAAGCAGAGAAGCAGGGGGGCAAAGAAGCAGAAAAGGAAAGAAGCACAAAACACAGAAAAGCAGAAAAGCAGGCAAGCAGAGAAAGGCAGAGAAAAGCAGAGAAAAGAAAAGCGGAGAAGCGGAGAAGCAGGGAAAAGCAGAAAAGCAGAGACGCTGGGAACGAGAAATCAAAAAACAATCCCTAACCGGGAAAAAAATAACTTTTTAAAAATAACCCTCCTAAAACTAAGCGCAATTCAGCAGCCCAAGCCCACTGATGTCAACCCCCGCGATTGGCAAAGCTAAAATAGCAACCAAACAACAATTCATCAATAATTGCGCCCCAAAGAGCTTGTCTGGCTTGTGTAATGTTGGCGGTCAATCAACCTCTCTCCGAAATATAATAAATATATATGGGTAATCTGCTAATCAGATCTAATATAGATGGTAATCCATAATCAACCGTCTGATCAACCATTCTCCATCATTTTCCAAGAAGATTGCCATAGATGGTGGATCAATCAATCCCTCAAACGCTCCATAGACTTCACACCATGAACCACACCTGCCCTCAGCGAAGACGCCCCAATAGGCAGCGAACCAACTGGCACAGTGGGCCTCTGAGTCTCGTATCAAACCTCCTTGGTGCCAGTGGCGACCAAGGATGGAGTTCATTCAGTTCATCATAGGTCATAGCGGCCAAAAATGGTCAAAATGGATATGGATCAAAACCGATGCTACCATATTTTGGGCGAAAACGGAAAACACGTCGATGTGTCTGAAAATGGGGTATACCGCCAAATGGCAATTGTCAAGGGAAAGTGCGGATCAACCAGTTTTTTTTCGTTTCTTTACAGTAACCTATTTCATACAAACCCAAGGATTATATAGGCTGTACGTTCGGGCATGGTTAGGGATTCAATGAGCCACAAGCGATGGATTGCCTGCAGAAGCACAGAGCCTCACAGGTACCCAAAACATATTGAAATACTATTGAAATATGTTGAAAATATCAAGAAATACTGTGTAATACGTAGACCCATCAGGAAATCATACCAACCCAGGCACCTCACTTTTTTCTCCAAGCCGAAACCCGGGTTTCATCAAGCGCCAACAAGATTCGACCAAAGGCCGTTTGCATTCCTCCAGTGAAAGACATGAAGCCAGGATTTACCTCACCAGTCCAGGTCCCACAGCTGAGAACCAACCTCCTGATTCACCAACTACACTTACAGTGATTGGAGAGACCAACATTTGGACATGCCATGATCACTGAATCTCCACACTTCTCCAAATGTTGCTTGTTCATATTATGTTTGAAGCTATCTTCCATCATGTCCGCCTTTCCCTCAGCGTTCAGAACGATGACCGAGTCACCAGGTAGAACTCCCCGTGACCCTTGCTCAGCATGTGGCCTGCGGATCTGTATACAAGAACAAACATCCTTCAAGACAACAATCACAGCACATTTTCAACGTAGCAACTCCTTTCATGATTACGTTGGACTGGAGCTTCCTGGAAGCTCAGGGGAACCTCCAGCCTTGAGTTTGCATATTATTAGGTAATGTAAATGTAAATGTAATTGTAAATGTAAATGTGATATAATGTACTGTATAGTGTGTATGTATATATATATATATACAAAAATATGATGTGCATTATATGTGTATATATAATATAACTCTATTGAACTCAACATTGCAAGCAAACGTCCTGCAACCCCAAAAACATTGGCACCCACATCTACGCATCCTGGTGCCTTTTGATGTGAAACCGAATCGAAATTGGATGCGAACCATTGGACCCGCTTTGACAACTCCACTCTCGTCCCCCCCAATCGCGCAAAACCTCCTGCCCAAACGTCGCCATGTTTGACGCATGCATCCGGAGCCTTTGACACACCAAGTCTTTTTTGGGCAACTGGGATTTTGTGAGAAATGTGTGCTCACAAATGGTTGAGAAAGTAGTACAATATTGGTTGGTTGCGTACACACGAGCCTTTGCTGCGCACGTAAATATAGCATTGCAGGACCGTGCAATAGAAGATATCCAAAGTCCACAGTCTTCGAACAAACGTTGCTCAGTCTTCAAACAAACGTTGCTGGGGACACCTGGGGTGCGCAGCCCCGTCCGTTTCCAACCATAGAAGATGTGTAACAATATCAATATTGTTTTGTAAACATCTGTAAACTAGTTTCTCTTTCAAGTTTCATGAGCGCAAACACTTCCGAATTGCGGCAGATCTTCCAATGGAAATGAGTTTGGCATTAATTAAATGCCATTTCTGTGCTTGCACCTGCACCTTTCTTCTGGTGCATTGCGACAAAGCGACAAACCGAACTCCGGGCCAAGGCACCAAATAGCCTGCGTTGTCTAGGAGAAAGACTTGGTCATCGAAGAACCATCGCTTGTATAGCACACCTGAAGTCGCTGGCAGGCGCTGAAATGCTGAAACTGAAACCCCACTCATATAGTAGACTTAGAGATTGATCATTGGCCATACTACAAGAGAACCGAATCCACACAAGCAGCAACCATCCCCGCCTGCGAAGCTGTAACACCATCCAAAAACCGTTCCTTCAGAACTTCCAGCAGGAAGACCGCTGTATCTGGCAGCCAGCTAAGCAAATCATCATGACATGAGCGACTCCTCATGACTCCTTATTTTGCCTCCAGTTCATAGGTGCCAAACAACAATTTCGCTACAATTGAACCCACTTTGGGCAAGTTGTCACTCCCAAACAGGGGTCTGATTAAGAATGCCTATTCTCAACCACTAGCAAAGCCTCACCCACCAAATTTTGAGTGTTTCACTGGCCCGTTTGGGCCGCCCTGGCCTCAAGCTGCCGACCCGGACAAAGGCTTGTGCACACCAGAAAGCTGGCGCCACATTGCTCGGTAATGCAGCTGCTGCCACCACCAGTGCCAGCACCATGTCCCTGACCGATCCGGATGCGATGGGACCCTGTCAGTTGACCCAAGGTGCAAAGGTAAAAGTAAAAGTCGTCGACCTGAAAATTGTGGATGCTGTTTGGTGGTCTGAGAAGACTTACAGAGTGTGTGGAAATACCAGTTTAATCTGGTACAAGTACAAGTACCAACTTGGTTTTTGCGGGGGTCTGCCCTTTCCAACCTGACACACTACGAGTAAATACTACGTTTTCAACACGCCGTTTCGGTGGAAATCAATGGGTGATGTTGTCAACCCATGCCATAAATTCTTGTCAGTCCGGAACAATCATTCCTTACTGTAGGAGATGGAAAAATTGATATAGATATGCTTCAAACCGGTGGTTTCCCGCCACTTGTTCTACGTTTTTGGCAGGTGGTTGATACGGCGCCCTGTGAAGCTGTGTTTGCTTTGAATGTCTTGGGTTGGGGTAGGGTGGGGATGTGCCAATTGCTGGCACGCAGCAGTTGGATTCCAGTTGGCGTCCTCTGAGTTTTCAGCAAAAGGTGAACTCCAAAGTGAATCCAATGCGCTTTAAGTGTGCCTACTCCTATATGCGGCGGCAAAATGCGAACTGTGAAAACAGTTTTACTTCCAAGAACTTACATCCTCTGCCGTTGATGTTGAAAAAAGAGCTTCCCTGCAGTTGCTGAAACAGATCATTCACTAGACCACTCGAATTCCAATGCTTTTTCCGGCGCCATCAATCAGAAAATGATACTTCACTGTAGGGAAATATTCAATTTCACTATAAAGTCATGCGCCTGCCATGGAAAGGGAAACATGGAAATTTCATACGCATAATCAAAAATGCCACGAATACCACATGTCCATCAAAATGACAAAGAACAACTGAAATTGAAACCGATAACCCTTCATAGGGCGCCGAATCAACTGCGTACCTTGTTTTTCCCCTTGTTTGTTTGCTGTTCCCCACCTTTGATACACCACATCATCTTCCACAGTGATGATCCATGTACTTGGATCGCGTTCTTCCTGGCGTGGTTCATCGATCAGTTGACTTGGCTATGGATCAAATCCATGCCTGGTTTCACATCTCAAAATGGTACACCTGGATCTTCCCCGATTCATATACTATTCATATGCTATTTGTGATCCACCTAAGAAGTTCGAAGACGTTTACGTTTACTGAATCTGCCAAAGCGAAGCGAGACTGTGTCCACCTCCAGGGCAGCCAAGAGATTGGAACTGCGCCGTGCCATCTTTTTCACGATAATAATGTCGCTCATCGCTTTCACCTGTCAGATCATTTTCGTTGAAGCTGGTCGCATCCGGTTGTTTCTGCAACATTTGAAAACACCTTCGTCACGTTTTTGCTTTGCCGGTGGTGAAATGGTTTACCCCTATCAACCAATATTAACTAACCAGAATGAAAGGACATCGATGGACCAAAGTGACCAAAATCGTTTATATAACCATGTAAAACATCTGGATAAACAATACTGATTCAGTAGGTTGAAATAATGCAATTTGGTGATAGTTACCCTTTACGAACCATCATTCCAGCGACGCAAGATCCTTTATGCCGAAATACGTATGTATGTATGTATGTATGTAATGTAATGTAATGTAATGTAATGTAATGTAATGTAATGTAATGTAATGTAATGTAATGTAATGTAATGTAATGTAATGTATGTATGTATGTAATTAATGTAATGTAACGTAATGTAATGTAACGTAACGTAACGTAACGTTGTGTATGTATGTATGTATGTATGTATGTATGTATGTATGTATGTATGTATGTATGTATGTATGTATGTATGTATGTATGTATGTATGTATGTATGTATGTATGTATGTATGTAGTATGTATGTATGTATGTATGTATGTATGTATGTATGTATGTATGTATGTATGTATGTATGTATGTATGTATGTATGTATGTATGTATGTATGTATGTATGTATGTATGTATGTATGTATGTATGTATGTATGTATGTATGTATGTATGTATGTATGTATGTATGTATGTATGTATGTATGTATGTATGTATGTATGTATGTATGTATGTATGTATGTATGTATGTATGTATGTATGTATGTATGTATGTATGTATGTATGTATGTATGTATGTATGTATGTATGTATGTATGTATGTGTATGTGTGTGTGTGACTGACTTTGGGTTTAGTGTTTGCCCGAAAAGATAGCCCTATATCTGCTCATTCCCCATAGTTTCTCCATATTTTCCCCATGCAAAATGGGACCTTCAAGGCAAGTCCCCCATGAAACGCCTCTCGCAGCGATCTGCTCGGCTCGGCACTGGAGTCGCCCATGACCTGAAACGTCAAGATCTGCTATGTTTTTTGCAAACAAGGTGGATGGAAATTGGGATGTTCCCCATGAAATCCTAGGACTTAACAAATTTAAGACGGCAGCAAGCACCGAATTTCAAGATTTTACCATAAGAATTTGGGATTTGGCAATCAATTGCCATCGAATGTTGGAATTTAAGCAGCAAAAGGTTGGATTTTTACCATCGAATGTTGGGAATGTAAGTAGCAAATGCATGCAAATGCTGGATTCAAGCATGAAAAAATGAAAAGACATGAAGCTAGTTTTGAAATGATAAGAAACAGTTTACATTGATAATGCCCCACTTTGAAAAAATAGTTCAATCCCGAGGAATAATGTACCAATGGACTCACGAAGAGCGGGTTTATTTTAGCATTAGTAGATCCATTCTTGGGGTATATGATTTTGGGCCATTTAAAAGTGGGTGAAAAATGTGAAAATGCACTGCCGGTAGTGGTGATGCACCTGTGAAACTTGATTTCTTGGGCAAATAAGGGTCACGAGGGGATTCAGGACCTCTAGTTAGTCTGCTTCCCGGGGTTCAGCTGCAGCCGTGGTGCAAAAAGATACAGCGCATCGACGGGACAGCTTTGATCCACAAGAGATTGCACTGTTGGTCGCGCATCTCTATCAGCAGAGGTCGACCTGGGGTTCTTTTCAATCCAGTGGCGTTTCTGAGTTCTTCTGTAGACATGTCTGCAACAGGGAAGTGCCTTCAAACGCGTTCAATCCATCCCAAAATCACCAAAATCAAAAGCTGTTACAACTGAAGCGCGACATCCGCAAAAAAAAACACACAAGCATGATCCAAGCGCAGTAATTCAACAGAAACATGAAACTTCAGCATGAAACTTCAGCTCCAACGACATGCGAATCTCTGAAAGTTTGTGATGCCCATGCTGTCAAACTACTGACACTACGAATGGTTTCAGATCTGACAAAGTGAAACGAGAAGGGCAACCTGCTTTTGTCAGTGGGGTTATCCTCAGATCCCTCGCGTACAGTAACAACCCTGGTAAACAGAAGCCCTGCATTTACGTGGGTTTTGGTGAAAATCAATGCCCAGGGAACTGCAGATTTTGGTCATGTATGGTCCTAACCATCCAATTCAGGAGCCGTATGCCCAACTTGGAGCCATACCACTCCGCTTGGCGTTTCCGATCAAGTATTAGGATTTTTCATTATCATGATCATGCTTGTTCACCACAGGAATTCCCTCCACTGCTCTTGTTTGATGGCACATCATCTAAGTCCAGGGGTGGGAGATGAACTGCCAAATCAATGTGGCAGACCCAACAATTTTACTTCGGATATAGTTCATGCATACCAGCAATTTCTGGAAAATTTGGAGGTGGTTGTTGGAATTCCCCACCTGCCAGGTGATGGTCTCTAGATTTTAATGAAAGGTAACTCTTTCCTTCCTTCTTCCTTCCTTCTTCCTTCCTTCTTCCTTCCTTCTTCCTTTTTCCTCCTCCTTGTGCCAGCTCGGCGTCACTGTGGGGGGGCAGACGGACCCGAGACTTATTGCAAGCTCCATGGCTGTGTGGGCAGGCACAAACCTGAACCCTATCGGCAGAGCTCCAGATCAGGCTGGGCACACACGGACCCGAACACATGCCAGATAGAATCTCAGAAAGAACGCCAAATAGAATCTCAGAATGGAGGCCAAACAGGATGCCAGAGAGAATGTTTGAATAGATGCCAAATAGAATGCCAGAAAGAATGTCAGATAGAATGCCAAAATACATGCCAGAAAAAAATGTCAGATAAAATGGGGTGACCATATATATATATATATGCCATATATAACTCCAGTTTATATGCCAGAAAATATGTCAGAATTATTTGTCAAGGTGGGTATCATTCAAAGTACTGCAATTTACACATAATATATATATATACATATATATATATATACATATATATATGTGTATATATGTATACATACATATATATATATATACACATACACATACACATACACATATACATATACATATACATATACATATACTTATCTGGGATGGCAATTCAACGGTGCCGAAAAATATTAAGGGATTTGGGTATATTTCAAGCCGCTGCCATTTTTTCTGTCTTGCACATGCGCCATCCGTTTGCACCAAGACCTCAGCCGCCAGGAAGTGGCAAATATGAAGTGCAAAATGGTGCTGGTTTCAACTTCCTGCACAATGACATGGATACCAGATCGATGCGCTCATGACTTGCACTCCCTGAGCACATTTGTTTCTCCAGAAAGCTGATGGAAGTCGCTGTTTCGCAATCTGGACCGCGGAACCGCCAGGATGAGTTACCCCATCATCCGCACAGCAGGTCTCTATGCCCCTAGAAACCCTACAGATTTAGCTCAATCAATGCCTGCCCAATCTCGCTGAGCAGGATCCGGGTTGAGCATAGCCTTGATTGCTGGCCTGAAGCTTGGTTCCAGCAAGTGCAAACGATTCACCAGCCGATAGTCAAAATTTCGGCTGACCTGTGCATTTGAAAGACTTGGTCTTATTGATCCCTGCAATGATTTCTGCAAGGATTGCCACTGCTGGCACCACTCCTTGATGGTGTTCTCACAACCACAAAGGTTGTTGCGCAGTGGGCGCATAAGGATCTTTCCAACTGCAACCTCATAGAGAACACAACCAAACGACCATAAATCGACTGCAGGCCCCAACCACTTGGAAAGGTCCCTTTGAGCAGCGTGCCACAATTCTGGGGCTCGGTAACTTGCTGTTACATACATGGGAAAACGAATTGAAGGACCATACCCTGGGATATATTCAGACATCCCAAAGTCTGCCAACTTGAGCTCACGCCGGACAACGCACCAAAGCACATTGCTTGTTTTTAAATCCAAATGCAAAATCTGCAACGAGTGCAAGCCACGCACTGCAGCTTTCAGCTGCAAAGCGATGGCGCGACTGTCATCTACGCTAAAAGCTCCTTTTTCCCCAAGCAAAGAAAACAAGCTGGAGCCACAATATTCAAGAGCCAAAAATGGAAAAGGCTTGAAACAGGGCTGTGCTTCCAAAATGCAGGGGTAAAATCCTCGGAGTTTCTGGTCGCTTTGTTCTTGCACTGCTTGCAAAAGGACGAGCTCATGGTTGAGATCCTCGAGTGCGCTCTTCTTCTTGAAGACCTTCACAGCACATCTTCGTTGAAGCTTGTCTAAGCAAAGGAAAACGCTGCCATAAGCGCCTTCACCTAGGGGATGGCAATCAGGAAGGCCAGGATTCGCATTCACCACCTTGTAGCCTCCGATCATGACAGGATCTTCAGGTTCTGGAAGCACGTCCTTTGCCAGCGTGTGAGTTGTTCGCGAGCTTGACTTTCGCAGTGGCATGCCCATCTGCTTCATCACAAAATGCTGCTTGGCAAACTCGGCATTGGATTGGTCAAAGTAGCGCTTCTTCTGGTCAATGGGTAACTTGTGCCACATGGCCCCCAAGCGCTTCATCTCAAGCCGCCATTCGCTTCTCCCACCTCCTTTCTGCCCACGCACGTTGTCCTTGACAAAGAGCGCAAAAGGCCTTCTAGCAGGTGGCAACAAGCCATCTTTCAACGCTTGACATCGAATCGTGTCTCGTTTTGGCTTGGTCTGCTTGCCCTTTGACTTTTGGCCATTCTTCTTCACTCTTTGAGGGCATGGCTGCTTGCCACGAAGCCGAACTGCGGGCACAGCTTTTGCCATGGCTACTCAGGACCGCTGGACCGCCAGGACCTAACAATGGCAACGGCTGTAGAAATTGCTGCAACGGCAAATGCAAATAAGGGATGAGGCTAAAATACATGTAAAGCAAGCTTTCACGCAGGATTTAACAAAACTGTGCATTGAAGCTTCCTTTGGCTGCAAAATAGCCTCAACTTGGACAGCTCCTTTTTGGCGATTTTTTTGCGATCAAATTGCTAAAAGAAGCTGTTAGCCACATGATCCGCATCTTCTAGCCCTATACCTGTCTTGCAATGAGCATTGATTCCACCCTGGCATGAAGGAAATGCTAAATGTCTGGGACTACATTAAGGCATAGAAATTCTCTCTTGGCAGAATTGGAAGATAACATGTGGAGCAAGGGAATAGGAGAGAGAACCACTATTCTCGTCATTGTCAGGTAAAAGGGAATTCAAAGCTGTACAAAACCATGCGCTCAGAGAAGGTCTGTCTTGATCACATCAACTCTTCAAGCCAAATCAACAAATTTCATGCCGTGACACATTGAAGGCAAGGCGGCTTGTACGGTTCCACTCCTCTTTTGGCAAGCCACACTGAACAGTGGCCATCCACAGCCTCACTGCTTTTTTGGCTTCCACTGGTGTTGGAGGCATGGCCTCACAGGTGTTGGAGGTCAACACACACGTTTACATACTTGTAAGTTTTTTGTAGTTTTACATGCATTCTATGAATATGCATGCACATATGCACATACTCATACATAGAGATACATAAAGATGCATGCTTCACACGTGCGACAGAGATATTATACATAGTATGCGCATTTTTACATATATATATATATATATATATATATACATATACATATACGTATATACGTATACATATACACATATACATATACATACATACATATAATATATATATACACATAATTATACATATTTATACAAATATGACATTGATGCGAAGATGCACTTAAATCATGCGTAGATCCACTAAGCCATGCGAAGATGCAAAATCCTCAAAAAATTTGAAGCTATAAGCGGCGTGGCACTGGTTTTTAAAAACCGAGGGCGTATTGAGAAGGGCAATGCCAAGGTCAATACGCCCTTGGTTTTCGAAAACCGGAGGTGGATTGAGAGGAGAGAAAGCTTCCCAATTGTACGATTCCTGAGTTTTGGTATTTGGAGGGGAAAATCCCCTTTCATTACGCCCTTGGTCTTTGAAAACTGGAGGTGTATTGGCTTGGGGTGATTCTGGGCTGTTTTTGACGCAAAATCGAGAAAACAGCCAAGCCGGATGAAGAGATCTTTTTCCATCTTTTTGCTACAGGCTGGAATCATTTGAGCTGCGATGTGTTGAAACGACCTGAGATTCCACGTGTCTGTTTCAATGTTCTGATGCACCGCATAAAAGATAGAACATCACCGACTGAGCTCAATGTCTTCACTGAGCTAGTCTTGCCCCTCTTGGAGTTGCTCTCCCCTGCAACTACAGTCCACCTGGAGCCCTCCGATTTGGCACATGCTTTGAGTGCACTGCAAATGGCATATGACCTTTCAGGTGGAACTAGCATCAAAGAATAACTGCCGAGGCTTGGCTTAATAATAAACACTCGGCAGCCCAATGAAACAACGTAACTTTGCTTAAGAGGAGTCAAGGAGCCGATTGACCGCAGGACCAATCTGAAGTTGAAAAGATCTACTCCGCAGAGCAGATCGAAACCACAAGAACCGATCCAGCTTCCAAGCTTGACGGGTAGCGACTTCAACATCTGCCCGACAGGCAATGCACAAGCCCTTGGCGTAGCAGTGGAGCAAGCTAGCAACCTCAGCTAACAACAACAGGTCATGGTAAATGTGAAAGAGAATTCAAAGAACACCTCGAAGCACCTCAATTTTTAGCAGGCGCTGACAGAAAGAACCTTCACAGTGCCTCTGAATTAGATGAAAACGAATTCAACACTCAGCCTGCCCAGCGTGTTCCACGCAGGCACGCTTTGTGCAAAGGTAAGCAGGGAAGCTTCACCTTCTTCTGGGATTTTAGCCTTGAGGCGTCAACCTTCACTCTTCTTTTGATGCCAACCTTCAATCCGAATCGCTCACGGAGCTGCCTTTCTAATTTCTTCTCTGCCGCAGTCAGTGATTTCTTTCTTGCTGCTGGCATGGGGGCCGAAGGGACCGCATGGACCGCAAGAACCATGTTGCCTTCTTGTGGCAATCTCCCGCATCTAGACCCAGGCTGGGCCCAATCCACAAGGGCGATGGCAACCAACATTGCTACTCCCACAGTCTGGAGATGCATCATGTTCCCACCCATGTCCTCCAACTCAGCATCGGTTATGCCTTCAAAGGACATGGTGTGCACTGGCAGGCAATGTAGCAAGAGCTTTTCCATGGGAGCTAACATTCTCCGAGCTTCAGACACAACCACGTGGGACCCAGGGGTGATGGTAGGTGCGCAATCAGATCGCAAAGGCACACGGCCCAAACTTTGGGACAAGTCAGCAACTGCCAGTCTAGGCATGCTCTTGTCCGTCAGCAAGTTCTTCCACACATCACGCTCACGTGGTAGGTGAAGAAAAAGTTCATCAGGGCTTGGCATGCTTGGGTCTGGCTGGATCTGGCTCTCAGCATGCTCCAACTGCCAGGCTGCATGGCGCTGCTTCCATTTCTGCGACCTACTGTCGCCACCAAAGTTTGCAGCTTTGGCATCTTCCCACCTTTGCTGGCGAAGGGACTGGTTTTCCAAGACAAGCTTGTGCTCTGCAGGCAAGAGCCTCTTGCCAAGTGGGACCGCAGGACCGCTGGAGCTCTTCAACCTTTGCCAAATATGGTTGTACATGCCTTGAGCCACTTCTTCACCAACAATGGCCACATCCTGTCGAACTCCTACAAAATAGTAGCGCGGCCTGCTGACGGGCTCACCTAAATCCGTGGGATTGAGCAGGTGAACTACCACCATGTAACCCAAATCCCTCAACGTCTGCATCACTTCATCCATGCAGCGCTGTATTCCTGGAACGTTTTCCAAAACAAATGAAGCGGGCTGAGACTTGCGTACCCTGGTGACTACGGAGTAGAAGATCTTTGCTTGGTCCTCTTCAAGAAGCCTCGTGTTCACGTGAAGCATTGAAAAGGGCTTACAGCTGAAGCCAGCAACATAGAGTTCTGCGCAGCATCAGGAGTTCTGCGCTCATGGCGGGCTGCTGGCTCAGAAGAGTGCTGACGCTCTCCACGATCTCGCGCTGCGCCCGCTGGTTGTGGTCAAACGCGGCCTCCACGAGGGGATCTTGGTAGTGGGACCGCTGGGACCGCTGGGCCAAGGACTGCACATCAGTCAGCCTCCTCAAGCTCCTGGGCCAAGAAGTCCTCCACATGCTGGGCCTGCTCTTCCTCCAGCGGGGCTGCAGGCTGCAAGGCTTCCGGCTCGCCGATTGGCAGCTCTGGCTGTGCCGCCGGCTGAGCAACTCCTTCCTGATCCGCCATCCTGACTCCACGCGCAATGACCGCAAGGACCGCAGGAACCATGTGACGTCACCAAGCCGAGAGCTTCTTTGGGCAAACAGGGGGCAGCAATGATGGTGTAAATAGCAATTGAGTGGCATTGATCATGGGCTATTTCAGGAATTTTCAGCCAATTTACAATTATTAAAGTCCAAGTTGGCACATCGTTGCTCCCAGTCATCCTGATCCCGGTCAAGGCTGGCCTGCAAAGGGGAGATGTGGCTTGGCACCGCAGAAGGCAACGGCTGGACAGGGCCTGGGCACAGAGCGATGGGTGAACTACTGGACCGTTGGACCCCTGGACTGGTGGAAGAGCAAATGACCTTAAATTGCTATCAAATTAAGCTATGATGTGGAAAAAACTCAAATGTGATACGGAAGCATCATTTGGATGCTCTTTAGCCTCAAATCTGCCTGAGGGCAAGACCAAGGAAAGCGATGGCTTTGACTATGCAGTGGTGCTGGAACCAAACTGGCTACTTTAAGGACGCTAGCGAGACACTCACACAAACGGAAAAAATAAAAAATATGCGAAATGCCAACGTAGTTATACATATACTTATACATATACATATACATAAATATGATTATATATGTATGTATTTTGTATGATATTGATGTTTAAGTTTTTGGAGTTTACCACTTTGGCGACGGGAGGCGCCATGATGGTGTGATTAAAACGTCTAGAAATGAACTAAAATTCAAAAACATCTCCCAATAAAATGGTTGGGTTACATTACATGCACCCTCTGGGCCTTCCACCTGTCTAAATCCCCCCCTATGATCCCTGGCATGGCACAGTGTGAGAACGACCCTGGTGGGTTTCAGGCATGGGCCGCTGCGAAGCGCGTCGGCCAGCAGAGCCTCCGTGGGTCGGTCCGTCAGCCTCGCGACATAAGCATGGAGATCACCATTCTGAAAATCGGAAAATGACCAAAAACTTGGGATTTTGCTCCAAAGATTCTGAGGTTTTTGAAGAAAATTCCAGGAAGATCATGAGGTTTGCTATCGATGATGTAACCATTCATATGAAGATGTTGTTCAAACAACTGGTGGATTTGCCTCAGTTCATGGTCATGTTGATGGGAAAAAATGCCGATATAATTATACAGTAACCTGTTGGAATGAGGATACCCCACTTGACAAGTGGCAAAGGTTTCAGGGTGAACGCATGTGCATGTACCTTCGATATACACATGCACACGTACCAGGGATCATTGAAAGCCCGAACTTAATCGCTCAGGTTTGTTGAGTGCAGCTGAGCATGGTGAACAATATCTATCAGGTTTCCCTTTTCTGGGACCAACACCTCCGGCAAGACAGATGAAAGGAGACAAGATGAGACAAGTACAGAAAGACATCCGGAGGGCTGGACACCATGAGCCAGACTAAGAGACCTAAGGGGGAGACATCCGGAGAGCTGGGCGCCACCAGCCAGGCTGGGAGACAAATGAGTTGGGAGAGAAGTGAAGACAGATCCGGAGAGCCCAGAGCTGCAACGACAATAGGTTCCTTTTACATCGGCGTCGAGGCCATGCCGTGGAACGGAGGCGATGCCATACGGGTTTCTCACATTCAATGCCCGCACGCGTGGCCACGCCGTCAACGTCCGCCGGCCATCGTGCTAGCTAAAAAAATAAAACGCTAAACCCGACGCGCTTCCATCTCCCGCGTCGTGGCAATGCTGCATCCATCGTGCTGCTTCAGTCGTCAGATCATGACACACAAGTTCCAAACCTTGGGATGCTTCTGTACTTCCATTGTTGGACATGAAGTCTCGCAGCTCTCTGACCGTCAACAACCAAAGTGGTTAGCGCCTTGGTGGTACATGCACATGCAACCAGAGAGTGCAAAAGAATGTCTGATGTTGGAATATCGTGATGTAGACAAGAGACATATGCTGCATATGTCTCTTGTCTACATCACGATATTCCAACATCAGACATTCTTTTGCACTCTCTGGCTGCATGTGCATATACCACCAAGGCGCTAACCGTAACCAGATTCCATTAAAATGAAATATTCTGACCTTTTTGCAACTCCTACGATGGTTCGAGTCAGGTGACACTCTTACATTCTGAATGACGGATGCATCGTCGACGTACTCTTCCGGGTAGACTTCGCAATTCCAGACGACGCCAATGTGCCTCCAACCTGACAGTTCCGTCGCCAAAAAAATGCTGCTCCGGCAAGTGCGATGCCTCGGCAGATGTCATTTTCCTAATTTTGTCGCACATGTACGCCATCTGCTTCTCGCGTTCCAGGGCCGTCTCGCATGTATCTATGTGCGTGACTCCAGCATTGATGCAACCACCGTGATCCAAAAACGCACTTGGCGGGATTAGCTCACCGTGCCTTATGCGTCCAATCAGCGGATGATGGCCGTGAAACATCCCTGCAGGTGCAGTCATGTCAAAAAGTTCCGTTGGTGCCCTTCTTTGCAATACCGTATCCAAATCAAGGAAAAGGATCTTGCGGTAGGGCAATTCAAACAACCGAAGTTTGGAAAATACGTATTGTGCCGCTTGCTGCCAGACTTGTCAACATGTTCGGCATCGGTTAAATCTATATCTGTCAAGCTCCAGAACATTTCCAAACTTTTTACGACGAAATTTGTTGTCCAAGGGCCCCATCATCAGCACCCATTTCCTGTGCGGGTCAAGCAGCTGCAGCTGATGTACAAGCACCAGGGCGTATAAGTAAAATTCGGTTTTGACTCCATGGAAAAGGCTAACATAAGCAGAGCCCAGCAATTCTTCACAATCCTGGTCACTTGCACGTCGCCGCTTTGCAAACGCCATGCCACGGCGTATCGACAAACCCGATGAGTACAAAGGCGCACGAACCGATGCCAGGCCACAACGGTCAGGAAGCGGGCCTTCGACCCTTTGATGACTATGCTTGAGCAGATCGGAAACAACGAAACAACACCTTTTTGAATTTTGAGCCAGACTGGGAGGCAAATGAAATCGGACACATCCGGAGAGCCGGACACCACCAGCCAGACTGGGAGACAAATGAATTGGGAAAGACAAATGAATTGGGAGACATCCGGAGAGCTGGACGCCACCAGCCAAACTGGGAGACAAAAGAAAGGAGACAGTGAAGACACACAGCCGGAGAGCCGGACACCACCAGCCAGACTGGGCAACAAATCAATTGGGAGACTGGGAGACACATGACTTTGAAGAGAGACAGCCGGAGAGCCGGACACCACCAGCTAGACTGGGAAACAAATCAATTGGGAGACTGCATGGGAGACACTTGGAAGACATGCGCAGAGCCGGACACCGTGAGCCAGACTGGGAGAGAAATGAGTAGTGGATATTTTTTTGGCTAAACTTAATGCCATGCACAATTAGGGTCCTCCCCTATCGGTTGTGAGGATTTCAGTACTCCCGGAGGTATCACAAGTGGAGTATCAGTATAGGGTCGTCCCCTATCGGTTATGAAGGTTTTGTGCAACCTCAGAAAGGCCAAGGGGAAGGAAAACTAAATTAGTATTACAATATATTACAATAATTTTGTCGGTTACTCAAATGAATTGGAGACATCCGGAGAGCCGGACACCACCACCTGGAAAGAGCCGGACACCTCTTAGGAAAGAATTGAGAACCCCAACAGTAAATTGTTTGGGGAAAAAATCACCAGGAAACTCCGAAAATCATTCGCGGGTCCACTCTTGTTTGTGAGGCAATCCGCAGGGCAGGGCTTGAGGGGAAACTGCGAATGTCATCGACGTCAAGGAGCCGTCTTCTTGGTGGAGACGCGGGATAGGAGACCTGTCGTGTTGATCAAATCCGCAAAGTGATTGAAGTTATACTTTCTGCCAGGAAAAATGTTCCGATCCTCAGTGACAGTAGTACCACACAAGGCGGCGGCGGAAGTTTCAAAAATAGGAAACCTATAGGAGAGGTTGGTTGTTGGGAATCACGGATGGCAGAGCGCATCCACTGATGGACCGACAGGTGGTTGGAGTTGTGTTTTTTGGAGTGGTTGCAATGGTTGCAGTGGTCACCTTACCACAATTGCTGTATGTAGTGCAGAGTTGTTGCAGTTAGTGTGGTTGCAAGCGCAGTTTCAGTTGCAGCCGTGGTGTGGTGTAATTAGTGTAGTGTAGTGCAGTGTAGTGTCATGTAGTGTTGCGTAGTGTAGTGTGGTATAGTGTAGCGTAGTCTAGTGTAAGGTAGTGTAGTTGTAGTTGTAGTGTAGTGCAGTGAAATTTGTGTAGTGTAGTGTAATGTAGTTGTATGGTAGTTGTAGTTGTAGTTGCAGTTGCAGCTGCAGTTGTAGTTGTAGCTGTAGTGTAATGCAATGTAAACAGTGTAGTGTAGTGTTGTGTAATGTAGTGTGGTTGTAGTTGTAGTTGCATTTGTAGTTGTGGAGTGCTGCAGTGTAATTAGTGTAGTGTAGTGTAGTTGTAATTGTAGTCGTGGTAGTAGTTGTTGTAGTAGTTGTTAGTGCAATGGGTGTAGTGTAGTGTAATTAGATGCAACTAGTGTAGTGTAGTTGTAGCGTAGTATATTTGTACTTGTAGTTGTAGCAGTAGTGTAATGTAGTGTAGTTGTGGTTGTAATTGTCTATCTACTATCCATCTATCTATCTATCTATCTGTCTGTCTGTCTGTCTGTCTGTCTCTCTGTCTCTCTGTCTCTCTGTCTCTCTGTCTCTCTGTCTCTCTGTCTCACTGTCTCACTGTCTCTCTGTCTCTCTGTCTCTCTGTCTCTCTGTCTCTCTGTCTCTCTGTCTCTCTGTCTCTCTGTAGCTATCTATCGATACCTATCTATCGATATCTATCTATCGATATCTATCTATCGATATCTATCTATCGATATCTATCTATCGATATCTATCTATCGATATCTATCTATCGATATCTATCTATCGATATCTATCTATCGATATCTATCTATCGATATCGATATCTACCTATCGATATCTATCTATCGATATCTATCTATCGATATCTATCTATCGGTACCTATCTATCGATATCTATCTATCGATATCTATCTATCGATATCTATCTATCGATATCTATCTACCGATATCTATCTATCGATATCTATCTATCGATATCTATCTATCGATATCTATCTATCGATATCTATC